CAACAACAACAAAACTCCAAAACAAAGAAAGAGAGGAAGGAAGGAAAGCAGGAAGGAAATATACAAATTCTCACACATCACCTAGACACAAGGAAGGATACCTTCAATATCACTAATCATCAAGGAAATGTGAGCCCAAAGCAAAATGAAATACCATTTCATACTCCATGGCTAATGCTAAAAAGACTGACAACACTAAGTGTTGGTAAGGATGTGAAAAACTTATCCATTCCTGGCACAAAATCACACTATCATTTTGAAAATAAGTAGGTAGTAAAAACGTATACTTGCTTTATAACCAGCACAGCACCATGTTTTGCTTGTATTTTCTTCCTTATACCCCAATAGGTTAATGGCTGGTTACATTAAATTAAATAAATGAACACTGATCATAATGCAACAAATAAAATCATACTGATGTTAAAGGCAGATCACCTGATATTTACTTCATCATGGCTGAATCTCAATATTAAAAGGGGAGTAAAATATTACAGATAAAAATTCTGGCTTTCTTCACTTTTAGCAATACTGAGGCTTGAATCCAGGGAGTGCTGAACTACATCCTCTTCTCTTTTTATTTTGAGACAGAATCTAAATAAATGGTTCAGGCTGGCATCAAACTTGAGCTCCTCCTACCTCAGTCTTCCTAGTAGCTGGAATTACAGGCATGTGCCACTAGGTCTGGCTGATAAAATTTTTACTGTAATAATTCCTAGCCAATGTTACAAAGAGCATCAAAAACAACTTCAGGGAAGCAGCCGCCTCTCAGAATACAATCCATGTTCACCAGAAGGGTGAGTGGAGGGAGGGAGGGAGGTTTTAGTGCTCTTGAATTTATTTGTAAGATTAGGAGTAGAAGTAGTTCTTTCATCTCCAAAATCTATCTCCCTCCTTCATTTTACTGATAATATATTTGCTTGGGGGAGAGGAGACAACAGAATTCCTTTTACAGAGGTATATATGAAAACCTATGTCATTTCATTTTAACTTTTAATTTTTAAAATTAGAAGGGGGTGCAGGTACCATTGTAGGAATTCAGAATATGTAACATTTAGTTAAGAAAACCTAGTAAGGAAATCACTGTCTCTTTGTTCTAATCTCTGTAACACATTCCATAGTGGTAATAATCACTTCTCTTTTAGGTTTTGTCCTTCCCAACTTCCAAAGTCTAAAAAAGATAGATAAAGCATTATTTCAAAAACTTGCATGCATAGAGTAAATAGTTAAGATCTAAACCATATAAAACAAGTCCTACCAGGCATAGAAAGCCAGTCAATAATCACGATACAGTAACATCAGTAATAAACATCTGAGTGCTTACTATGTGTTAAGCTCAATGCCTAACAATTAATGGTGTGCCTTATCGTACCTAATCACAACACTATAAAATAATATTTTATGTAGTAACAAACAATAAGAGCATATACAATCATTACTTTAGGTGAGGAAAATAAGACAGCATTGAAATGATAGTACAGAAAAACCAATGAGTATGTACTGTGTGTAAGTATAGCTCAAATGTGTGTATATACCTTATGGTATGTTATTTCTATGTATTTTCTTGGGAGAAGTACCTTGTAAAGGGGTCAAGAGAGTGCAACATACAGCGTTTACGCTGTTGTCCATTTATATTATTTTTCTCCATTTTGAGGAAGTAGCTCCTGCTCTGTAACTATCTGAAACTATCCATTGCCTAATCAACATTTCTTATTTTATAGGCAATGGTTACAGTAGGTTTATAAGAGGTGTATTGCTTTTTCCTAGCATGTCTAGTTAGGATGGATAGGCAGCTGTAAGGGGGCCTCTGAAGGCCCCTGTCACTGCGTTGGTGTTAGTCTTTTATGCTTTTGTTCCCGCATGCTTTGTGTGCACTCATGTGTGTGGGGGTGCTGGGTTACTTGGTATTGAACTCAGGGCCTTCTCACTGAGCTGCATCCCCAGCTCTCTATTTTTTTAAATTTTGAGACAGAGCCTTGCTAAGTTGCCCAGACCTGGCCTGAACTTGCCGTCCCACCTCAGCTTCTGAGAGAACCAGGTGCTATCATCAGGCAGGTGCTATCATCCTCAGGTGCTATCACCCTCAGCTTTGTGCCTGCGCTCTTTACAGGGCCCAAGACTAATCGTACCGCTCTGCCCAGCTCCTCCTCTTACGCGAGCAGGGGAGGCTGTGGCTTGTTTACACCCACGCGGAGCAGCGAGGACGGGAACACTGGCTTCCCAACACCTGCTGGGCACTCCTTCCTCACGCGCACACCGTCTCTACATGGGGTGTCAGGGTATGAAGGCGAGTGAGAGCTGCCTCTTTTCTCTCCCACGCTGTGTCTTAGAGGAAGACTCAGAAGATCTTTTCACTCTACGTAAAATTCTGGGAAACATGACTTATTCACCATGGTATCTTATTAGCAAATCTGGCAGTAGAAAGTCTCAGCAACTGTTAATTCCATTTTCCAAGATAACTGCTGACAGGTGATTTCTTATCTTTAACTTCAACTTCCTTGAAACAGAATTTCTAAGGGTAGAGTGAAGGACAGCGGGAACAAGGAGTTCTGATGAGGCAGGCACTCTGAGGTCACTGGGATTAAGTAATGATACCACTGCCACTCTGATAGCCTAAGAGGTTCACATCCTATATTACAAGGAAAAAACCTCCGAAATAACTGTCATAATGGATCCTATGTCAAGAAAGAGACTCTGCGTTTGACTTTCATTGCTCTCTTATTCAAACACACCTGAGCCATAACTCACTAGGGACCCAAAGGAGAAAGGGGTAGTGGCACAGCCAGCACGGAAGCCTGGAAAAAAGCACAGGTGGCCAGGATGCGGATGTCACCGTCACACACAAATGGCTACAGGTGCCAGGGAAGGCAGGGCTGCAGAGAGGCAGTTTCTCTTCGGCTGTTTCCCTTCCAGACCCATCCTTCGTTAGCAATTCAACTAGACATAGAGTCAGAAAGAAAAAGGAATCATGGTCAACCCTGAGCCATGGTGTAGATGGGAGGACCGCCTCGTCTGACCTCCACACTTAGCCCAGGAGTGAAGCAGAACTGCCATGACAAACAAAAATATGAAGCCACTGTAATCCAGCCACCAATTTCCAACAAACCCATGGTCCACAAAGTTCAATTTGATGTATGGGCTATTATTCTTATATGACTAAAGAAAATAAAATACCAAATTAGTTGAATTCTTTTTAAAAAAACATTTGAAAAGAAATTCAATCGTATTTAATTCTTGAGAACAGCAGACCCCAATCTTTTTTTCTTCAGGACCCTTTTACGTCTTGAAAGCTAAGGACTGCTAGCGTGGCTGGGGTGCAGTTCGGAGGCAGAATGTGCACTTAGCATCCAGCAGGCCCTAAGTTCAGTCCTCAGAATAGAAGAAAAACTGGAGACCTAAAATGATCTCTGGTATAACTACTGAAACTTACCATATAAAAATTAAAATTCATTTTAATTCATCAAAAAATAATCCCATATTAACATAAATGACTCAACTAGAAAAAAATTAAAACTAAATAATTCAAAAAATTTTAAGACCTGAAGGGGCAGCTCGGTAGTAGAGTGCTCGCCTACCATGCATGAGGCCCTGAGTTTGCCTCCCAGCGCCATCGAGATCATTTTCTAATTTCACAAATACAAACTGTGTCTGCCTTAAGAAGATAACTGGGTTTTCAAATCTACTTCTACAATTTATCTCTTCCAGTTCTGGAGTAAATAGAAAACAATCCAAACCCACAAAGAGGTAGTTGGGAAAGACAGAAGCACTTTATTTATTTATTTATTTTTTCCGGTACTGGGAATCGAACTGAGGACCTTGTGCTTGCCAGGCAGGCTCTGTGCCACTGAGCTAAATCCCCAGCCCAGCCCCGGTAGAAGCACTTTAATTGTGAATATAATCATCAAAAGTGGACACACAGGGCTGGGGACACGGCTCAGTGGTAGGGTTCTTGCCTTGCATGCACAAGACCCTGGTTTGATCCCCAGCTCCACCACCACCACCACAACAAAAGTGGACATATGGTAAAGGTCAGTTGCAGTGTGGAATCTCAAATCATACCAACGAACCTTTCATATCTGTTACATTGAAAGCCTCTAATCTAGCTTATATTTTGAATGGACTGTTTATCCATACATGACCTCATGCATCTTATACTGTACCATGAAAATATTGGTTCACTGAGTTACACAGATCCTTTAAATTGTGATACATTTCACTGTGTAATATAAGAAATTACACTCATTAATACATACCGATCTTACTAAAAAGGCTTTTAAGTGTCACAATGGCAGACAAATTTTTTACAAGTATAATTTTTAGTTGAAAACTCAACAAATACTGTCAGTAGCTTTCCTTGAAATGACAGGCTCATTTCGTTTTCAGGAATATACCTACTAACTACTGAATAATCAAGCCTGATCGTTTGCCTGTTCAAGTAAAATGGTGTTTCATTAAACAAAGAAGTCAGCCAGCTCAGCGATCAACTAAAGCAAGTGCGCAAGCGCTCTTCCTCGAGACAGGCACCGTCACTGGTGCGCAGAAGCGCACTCACTACACGTGCCTGTGTGCCACACCGTATCAGAACCACGTGAAATGCAAGGACCAGCCTTAATGAAATAACCTGCTAATTATCAAGGCATTCTCACATTGAAACTGGCCTTTCCTCTTGTGAGAGGCAGTGCGAATACCATGATTACTGATACAGACGGGTGTCATTGCCTCGATTTGTGTTAAGGCACTAGTGTTTCCACTACTGCAGCTTTTGTGTCTCCAGTGCAAAAGCCAACACATTAAAAGGTTAAAAGGTAAATTACATTTTCGTATTGTTATGAAAGGAACTGATACTATGTAAATGCCTCCCCAAAGATCTCAGAGGACCCCTCCCCCGCTTTCTTTGAGCACTACTGCTCTAAAATACTTTTGGCAAGGATATGTTCTGTTACTCCTATATAATACAAACAGTAATAAATCTAAGCAAAATACATTCAAAAATACCCTCTTACCTTTGCCAAGACTAAAAACAAATGGTTCATTTCTATCGTGGCTGGAATCAAACTTCTTTCCATTTGACAATTTTCCTTTGTAATGGACGTAAACTCTGTCACCAATCATGGGTGTTTCCTCACTATTCCCCACTCTTTTGACAATCTAGAAAAGACAAACATCAAGGAAAGGGAGGTGGAACTTTTTCAAAAAACAGAAAAAAGCAGAACAGTCCATTCCAAGTTACCGGGCAGACCTGCAAATACCCTCTAGTCTGGTCCTTCTAACCTCCCTTCACACTTCTCTCAGTAACTCTCCCGGAGGGCCGAGGATACAGCTCGGCAGCACAAGTGCCTGCCTGGTAAGTGCGAGGTCCTGAGCTCAACTCCCAGTACCAAAAAGCAGAACACAACAAAACCCTTCCTGTTAAAAAACTGTCCTTTGCTAGTCCTCCATACTACATTTAATTATATTGTTTTTTATTTATTACATTATTCCCTCAAAACAATTAACCAATAAATCCTGATCCATTTGTTTAAGGCCCTGTATGTGTACACTAACATCTCTCAAAATGCAAATTTGTGGGTCGGTCCACTCACGAATTGAATGAGGCCAAGAAGACTCTTGGACTTGGAAAACAGTCAATAAGAAGTAAAGCAAATTTTCAAAAGTGAAAAATAAATTTTTAAAAGTGCAATTTGTTTACTTCCCTCCTTTGCTAAAAACATTAGCTTTTGTCTACATTCTTCCAGTTTGGTTTAACTGCAGAAAGCCCAATATCCTGGCATAACAGGTTACACTTATTATTTGGAAAATACTCAATCTGCAAAGTACATCAATATCACTGCATACTTTGATATGATACTGAGTAATGTGTTTTCTAGCAAAGGAAATGCCAAAAAAAAGGTCCAAGTTGAAAAATATTTAGCTATCGTAAATCCAGTATACAGTATTTTTTTTGTTCCTGGCACGGTAAACTGCTCATGCAGTTGGTCAGTTCTTGGAAAAGAAAATCAAATCCAGGCATGTGGTGGTGTAATTTATTCTGTCAATCAGCTAGACCAAATCAATCATTTTTAGTAGATAACAGAGTAGAATAGCAAATATCCAATGAACACCTTTTTGGGGGAAGGGCTTGAGTTTTTATTTATGGAACTGAATTATTTGCTTTTAAATTCTTCTCTGAGATGTATTTCCCTCCCCCCATATAAACACCATGAATTTAAGATTCCACAACTTTCTTAGCTCAAAAGCTCAGACATTCTTTAAAGGAAAGGAAACACTGCTGCCCTTCATGGACTTAAAAAGGTAAAGTTTCAGAAGACATTAATCTAAAAGAAACCATATGATATTCTTTTTTTTTTTTTTTTTTCCATATGATATTCTGAAAGAGCTGATGGTCACGGATGTGTGTGACATTTTATGAGCCCTGTGCTTGGCCATCAGCAAGAACCTGCACTTAGAAGACTGGAAGCAACAACTGAGGAGATACAATGGATGGCTGCGGGAGTCAGACGGCCGCCAGCACAGCACCCAGGGCATCGCCTCCGGTGTCCCCACAAGACAAACCTGTGCCTAAGTCTGAAGCTGCTTGAAAGACAGAATCTGGTCTTAAGTCATTTGGAAAATGTAAACCCAGGGAGTTACTGACTTTCCAAACCTGCTTCAGTATTTTTTTTTAAGGATATAATAGTAGAAGAGGTTACTATAAGACAGACACTACAGTAAGTGCTTTACCTTATCCTGATACTGGTAAATATTTCTCTAAATTTTACAGGTAAGAAACAATCATACAGAGGTAACTAAACTGCCTGAGTGATGGGAAACTTTTTAGACCTTTCAATGATATAAACAGCCCACTAATCATATGTGCCATAGGTTTGCCACTACTACCTTAGGTCATGTAGTTACTAGGTCTATTTTTGATTGATTGACTGACTGAGACAGGGTCTCACTATGTAGTCCTGGCTGGCCCTGAATTCACTATGTAGCCAAGGCTGGCCTTGAACTTGTGGCAATCCTCCTGCCTCAGCCTCCTAAGTGCTGACTAGGTCTATTTTTAATCGTAACCAAAAGCCCCGTAGTGAACCTGAGGCTCTAGACAGTGATAAAAAACATGATTTAAAATAAAAGGCTTCTGATCTCAAAGGTGCCTTATAAACCTAAAATTCTTGCTGTCAGATTTATTCCCTAGAATACAGGGTGCTATGATTTGAATATGATTTGTCCTTGCTGAAACTCGAACTAAAGTCTGATTGTTAACTGCTGCAGTATTGAGAAGTGGGGCCTTTAAGAAGCAATTAGGTAATTAGTGGGATTCATGCCTTCCTTGTGTGAGTTCTGGCTCTAGAGGGATTGGATTAATCATTCCAAGTTGCTATAAAGCTACGTCACCCTTTGCATTTTGTCTTCTCCACATATGCCCACCTGCTCTTCTGCCTCCCACTAGACACTGATGCCCTCGCTAGAAGTGAAAAAGATGCATGCGGACTTCCCAGACTTCAGAACTGTGGGCCCAAATCAGTCTCTGCTCTTTAAAACTCACCCAGCCTTAGTGATTCTCTTACAGCAAAGAAAACATACTAAGACACAGGGTCTGAGGCAGGTTAGGGACCTTGTCCTCTGAATATGGGCAATCTGAAAAGATGAGGTAGGAGATGCTGAAGATAGCTGCAGAATCTCCAGTCTCTAGAAGCACCCTGGTGTTTGGAATGAGTAATTATAATTAAAAGGTTGGGACCCCCCCCCCCAGAAGATAGCATGATATAAATCCATAGCATAAAGCCCTTATTCTATAGCTGCTGGTCCCCAAATTTGGTTTGGCACATAGCAAGCTAACAGGAATGCATGTATATTCAAAAGAGATCCAGGCACAAAAGAAACGCTTTCACATTAGTAAGATTAAACAAAACAAATTCATATTGCTGACACAGGAGGTATTAAAACTAGCTGTAATACTTAGAGTGAGTAAGATGATCTTTTCAAAAACAAAACAGCTCTATAAAACTTGTATCTGTAACACTGGGATAGGAGAAATAACTACCTAAAGTGATTAAAGCCTTTTGAACCTCTCTCAGCTTCAGTGTATTAACTTATAAAACGGAAGAATCAACACCATTGAGAGATACAAATAAAAACAGGTGAAAGTGATTAACTGCACATTAAAAAAATATATGTTTGCCAGGTGTGGTGGCAAATGGCTATAATCCCAGCACTCAGAAAGCTGAGGCCAGCCTGGGCCACATAGCGAGTTCAAGGCCAGCCTGAAGTATAAGGCGAGACCCTGTCTCAAAATAAAAAACAAAAAACAAACCGTGTGTGTGTGTATATGTTTTAGTAAGTAGGAAAGCAAACTCAACAGTAAGATATTATGGGATGATGCCCACATATTCACTGCACACAGGAACATTATTAGTATGGGTCTTTGTTTTTTCTTTTCTTGGAGACAGGGTCTCACTATGCAGAGCAGGCTGGCCTTAAACTCACTTATGTAGTCCAGGCAGGGCTTGAACTCCTGATGATCCTCCTCCCTCAGCCTTCCAAGTGCTGGGATTACAGGTGTGCACCATCATGGCCTGTCACTATTAGTATGGTTAAAAATCCTTCTGAATTTTACAATTTAACTTTTCCCCTTCTAAAAGTTTTCAAAACTGTCATTAACTAGCTTTAGCATACTTTTATAAATGATATATTAAGTTAGTAGCTCATTTGTATACTCTGAGACTACTGAGAAGCAGCCTTTTGGAGCCAGACATAACTTGGACCTGAACCCCAGGATCTGCACTTACTGAGATGTATGATATCGGGGCAAGTTAATTTAACTAGCTCAGCCTCAGTTTCAGCATCTACAATCTGGGATTAAAAATGAAAACCTCAGAGTTAAGAAGAGGAAGAAATAAGAATCTAGCTGTAGTTTTTGGCACTTAGTAAGGCTTAATAAATATTATCCATCCCCACACATAAAAGTTTTATAAACAATCTTTGAGACAGCAGGTTTCCCTGTGTGTCTTTTGCTTGTGTGGCCTCACCTTTAATACCCCTCTGTCTTTTTTGGGGGTGACATCCTCTCCGTGTTCAGCAACAGTGGCTGCTGGGCTTTCTCCACTGTTCTTGGCACCTTCATCAGTAGTCATTGTCTTTGTAAGTAGGAAACCTGCCAGAAGAAACATATTTTAGCTAGGGAAAATATTACTTCTTTATGCATATTAAATGCCCCTGGAAACTGAGCTTCGCTCCACCTAAGACTTATTTAGGGCCCATTTATTTAGGGCCACTACAGGTTAGACATTGAAAAGGGAAAGAAAAGCATTTATGACCACGTATTGATGTCATGAGCTAAATAAAATATCACCTGATTCCTCCATTTCTCACCTAGCTCTGGTCCCAAATTAAAGCACAATATGTTAGGTTTGCCAACGGTTACATTGCTTAACATGATTACACAGAAGGGAGCAGTCCTCTCAAAACTTTGCAAATATTCTTTTCCAAAGTCATATTCTCAAAATGAAGAACGTATCAGGTGGCCTGGTGAAAGAAGTGGCACAGTATCACAGTGGAAAACAGAACAGGCTCGGGAGTCTGACAGAGAGCGCCTGAGTCCAAGCCCCGGCTACTGATGTTCTGCACTCAATCCTACTGAGCCCTGGTTTCTCATTTGGAAAATAGGTGCAGTACAATGTTAGCATTACAGTGAGGCTTCAGCGACATACAATATGTGATGCGATTGACACCTTAGAAATTCGGCCTTTGACGCTGACAGAGTCTGCTGTGGGACCACATTTTTCATCTCCTGCTCAGAATACCCGGAGAACAGGTTCTTCCCGGTGTGCTCAAAGCAGTTCCCAGTGCGAGCCCAACCTAACTCTAGCCAGACTAGACCGACTCCTCTTCCAGAACAGCCCGTAAGGCGGAAGGCGTTCGCTCTTCCGTAGCCATGCGCAGTTACTCTCGTTCTCCCCTCCACACGCCTTCATCATACTAACCTTGACCCTGCATGTGTGGCTTATTCTGCCCTTTTCTGTACTTCCTTAGCTCTTCCCTGAACTGGCTGTCCATAATCTATCTGTCAAAGACTAGGCCTGACAGATGTTAAGGCTCTTGAGAGCAAGGGCTACACTTTTGTATTCAGATCCCCTAGGATCCCTGAACCTTTCAGAATGGTAAGTCAGAAAGAGCAAGAAATTCAGAACTTCAATGTTCTTCCCCTGCTTCTTACAATCTGTTTGCTATGGGCTACTTTAACTTCTTCAAGTCTTTTTTCCCTACCTATGTAATTACAATAAAAATATCTACCTTCACAGGGCCACCTGGATTAAATGATTTATTATATACTTTTAAAGCATGCTATGAAAAAATTAGCTAGCGTTGTTGTCAGTCACCTGACACTTCTTCATGCAAGGCAAACGGATGTGACCAACAGGCTCATCAGTAAGCTAAACAAATACACCTGGCCACCTGCATGATGAATTCCACACTGCTCCCCGCTTGAGCAGGGAAAATCAGAAATGAACCATTTGTAAAGGCATTCCATATTAGGCTAATAATGGATTTAAGGTTCCCTCAAGTCACCACCGAGGGCCTCTGTCTACAGTCAAAAAGAGCTATTTTGCACTTCTGAAAATTCTTACAGATACTGTCAATATTTAGACAACTAAAACATATATTGCAGTGTTTTAAGTCATTTTCAAATGACCTAAGTTTACTCCAGTGTCAACAGAGACCCAAATCAAATCAGCTTGTGGGCTGAGGGTGGGAGGTATAGCTCAGCAGCACAGCGCCTCCCTGGCAAGCGCAAGGTCATGAGTTCAATTCCTGGTACCAAAAAAAAAAAAAAAAAAGAATCAAATTGCCTGTGCCCAAGAATCTTCAAAGGGAAAACCAAAAAAAAAAAAAAAAAAAAGAATCAAATTGCCTGTGCCCAAGAATCTTCAAAGGGAAAACCAAAATCCCAGGGTCTAACCCCGTTTGCTTTATTTTCTAAGATTGTTTACCAAACATAAAAGATCCAAATATTTGGCTCAAGATAAGTGAAAGGCCAGAACAAGTCATCCCCAAGCAACAAAAATTAAGTACCTGGCTCTACACAGTGTGAGGCTAGGTAATCAGGAAAATTAGATAAACAGGGCTGGTTCTCAGCTCTAGAAATCTACCCTGTTTTAGGGGGGCGGGTTAGCAGGAATCAAACTCGGAACTTTGTTCTTGCCAGGTGGGTGCTGTGGCACTACACTATCTTCCCAGCCCCCAAACCCACCACTTACAACACATTTTTCTGATGCACTGAAACTTGTAGAAGGCACCTCAACAACAGAGGGAAAAATCATCTAAATATTTTGGGGGCCATGAAAAAATGTATGCATGCAAAAACAGTTCCCGGGGCTTCACCAATCAACTAACATCCATTAAAGGACCCCTGGAGAAATTCAAGGCATTGAGCAAGTTAAAGACATCAGGTGAAAGTTCATGGAGAAAAAAAAGACAGCCACACCTTCTCAAAGTATCACCCTACTGGTGATTACTTATTAAGAAAAAAAAGGAAAAAGGAGAAGGGGCCCCGTGGTGTGTGCCTGCAATCCCAGCTGCTCAGGAGGCTAAGGGTAGAGGGTTGCAAGTTTCAGGTTGTGTTGTATGAAAGGAGAGAAGGTTAGCAAGATAGAGGTCAGCCTGCGCAACTTAGTAAGATCCATTTTAAAAAGGCAATAGAAAAAGAAAAAAAAAAAAAAAGGAAAATAGACCTTCCCAGCGAGGTGATCCCATCACTTAACAAGTGACTTGCATAACCAAACTCTGACACCAGTACTGAGACAAACTCATTACTGTGCCTCTGGACATGACATCATAGGAACTATGTATCCCCTATGTGGTGAATTCCTATCAAAAACAGTTCACTGGATCTAAGCAAGAAGGAAAAAACCCAGCATGATGGCACATATCCGTAATCCCAGTGCTCAGGAGGCTGAGGCAGGAGGACTGCTATGAGTTTTAGGCCAGCCTGGGATATACAGTGAGTTAAAGACCAGCCTGAACTACACAGCAAGACCCTGTCTCAAACAAATAAACAAACAAAACACAAAAAATAAGAAACAATAAAAGACAATATTAGATTATGGAGCATTCTACAAGACAACCGATCTAGATTCCTCAAAAAAATGTTACTATTATAAAGGATCAAGGGGAGGGGAGATACTGTTTGTTCTAGATTAAAGGAATCAAGTGTAATAGGTAAACCTGGGCTAGATCCACAATTAGGAAGACAAAATGCCTAAAACAATATTGTCGGGAGAATTGGAAAAACTGGAAAAACAGACTGTATATTAACTTATTGCTGTATGAGTGTCCAAATAGTATTGTGATTTTTTGTGTGTGTGATTTTTTTTTTTTTTACATAGACTAATATACTTGTTTTTAGGGGATACATGCTGAAGTACTTAGGGGTAAGGTGTCATTAATGTCTGCCACTTCTTTTTAACTTTTTTGTTTAAATTTCTTAACTGATACATAAAAACATAAAAGTTGTGCTCTGCCACTTATTTTGTTTTTTTTTTTTTGGTCTTTTTGAGACAGTCTCGCTATGCAGTTCAGGTTGGCCTCGAGCTTACTTCATAGCCCAGGCTGGTCTCAAACTCGAAACAATCCTCCTGCCTCAGCCTCCCCAGTGCTGGGATTACAGGCGTGCGCCACCATGCCTGGGTGCCACTTATTTCTAAATTATATAGGCAATGCTTTCTTTTGAATAGTCACCATTTGGAGTTCAGCAAAATTTTTGAATGAAAAAATTGTCAAACAAGAAAGTGTTTGGTGAAACTTGCTGCTCTGCAAACAATGACTTGCTTAAAATCAAATCAAGAGGGAACCTGTGTAAACTGATCTCACTTTGTAAGTCCTGTTTGCCAAAGGAATCTACTCTTCATTTTTCCTTCTAACATTTCAAGGGATGCAGTAATCTGCAAGGGTGACTCTTGTCAGTACTACTGAGCTGGTATGACGAAAAAGTACTATGAATAATTAAGACATAAAAACAAGAAGAAAATTTTTTTCTGAGGTTTCAAAGGCAAATCTGAGAGAAGAAATTGAATTTTCAACATACTTCCTCTTAATTATATTGAGGTTGTTAGGAATGTATGTCTTTATAAAGAAACAAAATGAGGCCAGGAACATAGCTCAGGGGCACAGCGCCTGCCTCACAAGTACAAGGTCCTGAGTTTGATTCCTGGTACCCGCCCCCCACAAAAAAGAAAAAAGAAACAGAACAAAAATTCGTTTCACTTTATTGAGCACTATACAAAAAGACAGTAAAAACAGACAGTTCTTTAAAACAAAGCAAGTTTCACTGCTTTTATGAGAGTTTTCTTTTTCCCTCCAACCTAGATTTATTGTGTGGATTTAAAATCACTATGTAGCTATGGATATTAATCTATGACAAAGTTTACTGTGCTGATCTGTCCAAAGGGGGAAAATTGCTATCCGGTACATAGGAAAGGGAACACACAGTTCATTCTGTTATGGACATGCCAGATAAGCATGCACTCTCCAAAGAGCTAGTCAGCAAACACCCGAGACATCACAGAAAAATGAGAACACGCTCAGCATTTCACCAACAGTGTGCTGAAAACTGCAGTTCACATAACTAAATTACTAGATGCCCTCAAATGAGAAGTTACTTTAAAGCCTTGTCCACTATGTCCCATACATTTACTGTGATGTTCCCTCTGTTAGAATACAGGTATCTTACACCAGCCCACACCGTGTTTAACAGGACAGTATGCAGAAAGAAGACAAGGACATAGGAACTGGCTATTTTGTTAGAAGCACTGAAAATGGTATCAGCATTCTTTCCAAGCACCACAGACTCTTGGCTTCCTATAACTAAAACATGAAAGAAGGACAGAAGACCTAGGGAAGAGGTAAACGTAGGCTTTTTAATGAAATGCAATGCAAGCGAATCTTAACTTTGAAAAATTTTGTAAGGCTGGACTAGAAAGCCCCCAAATAAATTTCAGCCGCAGGCTTCTCTCAAACATTCTAGTCCAGTAACACAGGAGTAACAGGAATAGTTACCTACTGCAGATAAGACACACATCCACAGAGATAAATACTGTGTGTATGCAAAGGAAACAAGATCACGAACAGACTGCACCTACATGAACCATACACTTT